ATTTCAGGCCAAAATTCGAGCTAATCCATGTGTGGAAATATATATATAGAAAAGTAGAAATTAGTATAAGAGAGAAGGCAAACGCACACCTGTCTCCACTGAAACAATCGCAGTCGAAGCAACTGTCGTAGTCTCTTTCGGCGTACATTAGCTCGTGAAGCCGGCGCTCGGTGTGAGCCCACCCGACCGGAGCTCCTTTAGCCTCAACCACACTCACGACGATCCTAGACTCATCGCCGACTCTATGATGAGCCTCCATAACAGTATCCAAATGATCCTTCACTTGGGCTTTTCTTATTGGGTCAATAATGGGCCCACCGTTAAACCCATCTTCTAGATAAATCACCATCGCCGCTCGCTCGTGGTGGGTCCACGCAACAGCTGCAGTCACGTGACAACCTATGTCGGAAAGTACGGCGGAGATCTCGGACAGTAGACCCGGTCTGTCCATCCCGGTTATCTCAAACGCCGTGTGTTCTGTTGACACGTGGCGCTGTTGCACCTCACGTTTTAGTTTACTTTGCATCTCTTTCGTTATACCTCCCGTTCTACTATAACATATTGCCTGCGAAAAATTAATTAAATTAACAAAATAATTAGTTAAATCATAAACTAATGATTAGTTGGGTAAATTAATTGTATTCTACCTGTTGAATGTAGAGAATAAGGCTTCGGTCTGTGAGCTTATTCCCGAGTTGGTCAGTCACGTGAAACACTAACAAATAGAAATATTTCAGATGTTATGTCATGTATTTGGCCCACCATGATAACAAGTGATTATGATGATGCTGACTTACCATCCATAAACCATTCACCATCAGATGAGATGTAAGATTTGGAGATAACGAGATCAAGATCAGCCAAAACTTGAACCATGTCTAGTAATATCCCGTACTTATTCACGCTATCTACCTATATTATTATCAACCACATGATTAGTTAATGCTAATTAATCATGGGCATGACAAAAGCAAATTTTCATGAACTAATTTTTAAATACCTTAACGAGTGTACACTCTGGGTCTGAGTCGTTGTCTACACAAACCCTAATTACCACACAAAACCAGCAATATATATATGTTTTGATTATTAGAATAATTAGTTAAAAAATTGATGAATTTTTTTTTTTTTAAACAAAAATTACGAACCTGGGAGGGTTAATTCTCTCGACGAGTGATTCGATCTCGGAATCATGCCGAGGTTGATAAGCTATTTCCATCATCTTATTATTTACCGGCGGGTATTAATTAATTAGCCCTCAAAATCCAACCTATATAAATAAATATATAAACCCAACCCAAGTCATGTATATATATATATTTTTTTTTTTGTATTAGCCATTGTATAATTTTGCACGACGTAAACGAGCTTTTAGTAAAAGAACCATAAAACGTTTAACGATAATATTCAAGTTAAAGATAATAAGAGGTTGCGATTTCTTCGGTTCGGAAGTAAATCTAAAAACATTTTTCTCTTTAAAATTAATTCAAAAACATTAACAAATTGCTCAAGGTAATTAAAATTAAGCTTCTACTCTGTTTAAATCTCTTCCTGGATCAAAAATTTATCCTCAAAATCTATCGAGAATTACTGTTAGACTACGATAGTTATAAAGAAAAACTACTTAGTATAATCTGACGAACAATGTCAACAAATAAACTCAGAGAGAACAAAATAATACTTCGAATATGAACAGAGCAATTAAAATTCAAAACAAACTTGTAACTTCAAGAGAGAAAAATAGAGAGTTGATAGTTGTGCAAACGAACGAACCCATATAAGAATCTGAATCCGAATCGTCTTGAAAACCCAAGAAAGAGTTTTGTGTTTTTCTCTCAAGAATTTCAAGACGAAAAAATACCAAAGAAAAATAAAAGTAAATAAGAATGGGAGAAAGATTTACCTGAGTTGAGATTCTGATTCAATATAGAGAAAGAAGAATCCTAAAAATGGAGAGATTCTATGAAAAATAAGAAATATCGAAAATTTCTTTTTGCTATAAAAGAGGAGAAATAGTTAAGTTGGTGGAGGAGAAAGAGAGAAAAGCCGAAACACAAGCGAAATCGTATCTAATTTGTATGTATAGACCGAGAATAAATTAATCTATATATAATAATACACACATGCATATACATTTTTGTTTTTGACAAATGCATCCCATCTATTTTTACACAATCTTTGCTTTTTGGGGAAAAAAATTATTAATTTCTGAAATTTAATTAAAGAATAATTATGATTAATGAAAATGAAGACAAATTCACTGAAACTACAAATATTTTCTATATTTGATTTCATTTTCGGTTATTATGTGGTAATTAAAAGGAAAGGTAAAATATAGAAGAAAATAAACAGCCGACGATTCTCCGAAACCTTGGGATCTTTAGATTTGCTCGAATTGAAGTGAACACCACTTAACCTAAAATTCATTAACAATTTGTTTAAAAAAAAAAGATTAAAGATAAGAGATGATGATGTGTTTTAGCAGACCGACACAAAATATGCCACGTGTAATAGTGTAAACCCACGTGGCAACATGGGTGGCTCTCTGAGAGGCGCGACGGCTCGACTCTTCCGAATCGCAAGAATCAGGCTGTCCACGTGTCTGGTTTTCATTTCAGGTGAATTTTCGTAAATTTCGTCTACATAAATATAAAAAACAATTAGTATTTATACACTCATGTATTGAACTAGCTGTATATACATACATGTATTATAAATGTTTTGATGTGTTTATACAAAACGTGGTCCGACCATTCCAGTTGTAAATTACCTTTTTTAATATCGTTGTACAACAATTTAGTAATTTTTGTTATTCGGTTGAAGAATTTAATTATTGAGTGAAATTTTCTGACAAAAGCCAGTTGGTTTTTCACCATTTGTTACTCACACAAGTTGTTGTTTTTAGCAAAAAAAACAGTCATTTTTTTGCAGGTTTCCAAAACTCTAAATTGATGAGTTTTGTGAAAGAAAGGGATAAAACGTGGTCAATCAATCAATCATAAAGCGAGAACTGTGTTTTAATTTTTAAATAATTTCTAAGATTACAACGTTAAATTTTTCGTTTTACAAGAACTTATCATTAGAATAACATGTTTATAATTTTCATAATAATATTTACTTTTGTTTTCCAAATAACAAATAGTATACCTCTATAACAGATATATCTCCGTTCTGCAAAGGATAAATGTTCCGTTATGAATTCTACAACGGTTTTTGACGTCATTTTTTACCTTTTTCCCCACGAAAGGTTCTCTCTTGTTTTGAAATTTCTCAACTTTGTAGTTGGTTCTTGTAACTTGTAAAGAGAATTTGATTGATCCATACGAAACAGAAAAACCCCTAGTCCAAAAATTTCAGCAATATCCGGGAAAGTGGAGACTGTAATGAGAGAAAT